TAGGCATGTTATCCCAAAAGTCTGCAATAACAGTATCTAAATTTTTACAGTAAGTTAACAAATCCAATATAAAAATAACATATCCTTATTTAAATCACCTACTAATGGTGCAAATTCTTTCAGGTTTAAAATTTTCTTCACTAGGTATGTTATCATGTTAATCTGTAAGTATAGTACCCAAATTTTTTTACAGTAAATCACACATAAATTGTTAATACAAACCCTATCAAATCACTCTACAGGCTACAAATTCTTCCTAGTTCAGAATTTTCTAAATTTTTTACAGTAAAATAACCACACAATTATGATAAATTTAATTAATATCAACATATTAACTCAATCTAAATCACTTATAAATTCTTCCAGTTCGGAATTTTTCTTTGCTAGGTATGTTACATATTATAATAGCCTGTAAGTACAGTAACTGAAATTATTACAATAAATCAATAAACAAACCATGATAAAACTAACAGAATCATATTTAAATTACTTAACAGCAGCTACAAATTTTTTCTTTTTTTCACTGGGTACGTCATGCCAGGCAATGGTTGTTAAGTGAAATTATATATATTAATTGACGAAGACAAAACTTCTTGGTGAAGCCCCTGATAAAAGCCAAAGCCTTAAAAGCTACACCATAGTTGAGATTCAAAGTTATTATCTTGAATAACACTGATGTAGGAATAAACAATTACGAAAACAGTGAAACAGATCTGTAAATAAAAAAACATTTATAGTAAGCACATAAAATTTACGTATTATAATACATAATATCGATATATATTAATATAGTTAATCTATGTGATCGCCACTGGTAAAACAAAGTAATTTCTTTAGAAATAATACATAAAATAAATAACTTTAATTTCAATTTGTATTGTCTTTACAATATTTATTATTAAAAGATTTTATTATAAAAAAATTGAAACAAATAAATTTTGTATTTATTTTTATAATATAGCTATGACTACATCTGATACAAAGTTTATTATGGCGCATCAGTTAATGTTTTTTCTTCCAATGTACAAAAAAGTTAAAGTGGTGTTCTTGCGAAAAACACTTGCAAATGCTTCTTCTACACCCATTCCGGCACTAATATTCAAAGATGTCAACATGTTGTTCTTGCAAAGTGGTCTTCCTCCTTCATTACACCTAAGATTTAGATCTTTTAGGACGGCTTTTTCACGAAGTTGGTAGAATTTTTCTAAAATAAAATTTTTAATACATATAATTATATAAAAATTTTCTTAGTTTAAAATCTACTAAATTAATTTGAAATATTACCCGAAGTTCACAAATATTAACATTTTATCCTTGCTTCTCTTATTTTTCTTCGAAAGTTGAAGTTTCTGATTTCATATATAAATAATCGTCAACAGATGTAATAAGATGGGTGTATTCGAGAATGGTTTTCATTTTCGAGAGATATTTTGAAAGGCTTTAATTCTCTCGTTCTTCAGTACTCAACACCAAGAATAATACTCTTATAAGTCTTGTGAAGAGCTTATTTCAGTGGTGGCTAATAGTTCATTATATTGAAGTGATGAGTAATTTCGATATTATAAACAAATTCAATAAATCATTTTTATATTTACCCATGTAATTTCTTGTCAACCAATAAACCTTAACAAGAAATATTTAAAAAAAAACTCCCAGCGCATGAGCAGGCGTAGAACTTATTGGATTATTTTTCTTTTTTTGTTTGAAGCTGCTTAACAGGCCTAGAACATTCATCGACCTCGTATATATCCAGTATACTAATTTACTATCAACAATTTACGATGTTGTATGAAAATAAGGTTTATAATTATTTTAAAAATAAAAGATCAATTTTTATAAATTTTACATATCATTTGTTTTGTTACAAAAAAAGGGGGAAGATTAAAGAACACTGAACCCAGTGATCAGCCAGTTTGTTTAGTTCTGGTAAACAAATGATGTCATAATATGTTTATCATGTGATTGTCGATCACTGGGTTAAGTGTCCCATTTAATAATTTTTTTATATTTGAATTCCACGAATTAATAGAATTTAAATAAAAAAATTTCATTGTGATGGTGACTCAAAATTAGATAAAATCAAACTGCTGTGACTATCCGAATTGGGAGAGTATCAGATAGGTCAGTGCCAAGATAGATCAGGGTGGTAAATGAATATGTAATGGGTCAGGACGGAGGGTAAGTGTATAAAATAAAATAAAAGAGAAAACAACACAAAAATAAATAAAATCAAGAATAAACTCTGACTAAGCTGCACAAAGCTTATAGTTACTATTCATAATAAGACAATACATTTATTATATGCCAAAGAGAAAAAGTCTACTCAAGACTAAAAACCTGCCTTTACAATAGGGCGGATACAGTGGGTTTATATCTTGTTCTCTAACTATAATTACCAACGATACAATACTGATAACTCTTATCTATTACATCATTTCGGATTACTAATCTTTATTTACTACTAACACCAATATAACTTTCCAACATACCAAGGTCCAAATTAAGAGTTACACTTAAACAATTAATCTTGGAGATCGAGGCCCAGATCACTGACAAGAATTAGAAGGTCGATTGTGTAGTGTTCATATGTCAGACCAATTGGCCTACACGTACAACAGACTGATCTAGTTCGGAAATCAGATATAAGATAGCAGGAAGTAACTATATATGAGAATGTCAGAAAGTAAGTATAAAGAAACAAATAAGAAAGGGGCAAATAACACAAACAGAAATAAGGTGGGACAATAGAAGAACAATTGGAAGCAAGGTCATCTGATAATTTTAAGGAAGGAAGATAAGGCCACACAAAGTAAATTTTTCGTTTTGCATTACATGGTATCTCAAAACTCCAGTCGGCGATCAGATTTTTTTTTTAATGTATATGACTTGAGTAAGTACGTACGTACGTACGAATATTTTAATTATCATGAAGATAAAATACTTGTTTATGATTAGTAATTACATTACATTACATTTTTCTAAAAATGTATTTGCACTTATCTAATTTGGGATATACTGTATATTGTTATATATAGAAATTTAGCTTTCAACAAACTCCCATGATTAAGTAGTTTACTCTTGTTTGGTAAATATCTTTAAACTTGCAAGTACAAATCAAAATTGACTATAGACTGAACGCATATATGAGGTCTTTGCCTTGAAAATGACTTTACGGTATCATGTACTGTAAGGTCATTTTCAAGGCAAAGACCCATATGTTCTATGAATATGTTCTATAGATATCTACCATATAGTAGAATTAATTACGGCACAGAGTTCAACTGCCGTAAATATTATGTGCCGCAATGCCGTAATGTCGTAATGCAGCAATGCCGTAATGTTGTAATGTTGTAATATCGCAGATATTGTAATAATACGATACCGTAATACTATAGCATTATAATAATTATAATAATATATATACATGCTAAACCAGGAATAGATAAATACTAGGACTAAAAACCAGGAACTTAATTAGTGATCTTTATATACATCATTATAATTATTATTACTTTAGGCACTGGACTTGAGTTTTAAAAAGTTACTAAAATTATTAACCATTAATAATTTATAATTACTATGTTACATTAAATTATTATTGTTATTAGTTCAAGAGGTTCCATCACTAGGCGCGGATACAAACATTCATAACAATAAGTAGTTTTAGACCGTCATAGCAAACCCACCAGATTATTATCATACCTCCAAAAATTCCCTCAAGTCATACATATATGCAATCCCAAAATGTTCTGATGTCCTTCCATCTATTTACTGATTTTAATGCCTACTAATTTATGATAACCAATATAAGTTTTTTTTAAATTATATTCATTAATACCATTAAAATAAACGTTTTATACTTGTTTTAAAAGAATTGGGACTAAAAAAAAAAAAAAAAATTTTGAGTTTTTGAAAAATTTCGGTCGGCGGGTAATGCAAAACGAAAATTTAACTTTGCATGGCCTAAAATAAAAACACTAAAATACATGATTCCAAAAAAAGAAACTAATCTAAAGACATGAAGACGTGAATCTTGTTTATTCTAGATCAGGTTAACACGACCACTGATCTGAGGCCCCAGGGTATAAACAATACATGACATATTACATAACAGTCTCGGCCCTGTAAATAGAAAATCTGGGACAGGTTACGTAGGACCCCGGATAATTCTAAGGTAGGTGGTAGGGTAAAAGAGGGTAGATTTTGGGCCAAATTTGCCTTAATTCTGGTCAAAATTAAAATTAAAAATTGATTTTGACCAGAATTTAGACACGTTTGGCCTAAAAAATCTATCCTCTTTTGCCATACCACCTACCTTAGAATTATCCGGGGTCCTGGTTACGTCAATCCCGAATTTCAAACCCAATATCAGTATTCGGATTTCAAATATTAACTCATCCTTTACCCAGTGTGCAACAATACCAGATTAACATGTTATAATTATAATTTTTATTATAATAAAAATGGGAGTTCGATCCATGTCACAGCCATATCTTAATAACAGTAGTACGTACGTACGTACGTATATTGTTAATTCGCCAAAAAATACCAAATTTATTTTTTAAGCAAGACTATTGGTTAGAAAGTTGAAAATGCAGATAAGCAGTTATCGTTATTACACATTGCCATTTTTCTTAAAATGTATAAATTCATCGAAAAACAACCCATATACAGTATATTACGAAAAGTTAGATGATAGACACCCGAAAAATACGTCAATTGTCCAATGAGTCAATGGATATCAATATGATATAATGACCACTTTTTTGCCTATTGTGTGCCTTGAGCGTTTAAGACATATTAAAGGGAATTACTATTTCAAGCAAGTCAAATAAAACTTAAAAACTGGATAGTAACCCGTTGTATCATATGATGAATGTGTCTCAAGTGTAACTATAAACAACCCCAAAATTCTGCAATATTACGTAACTAATCCCAAAAATCCAGTATATAATTCCAAGATAGTACGCACGCAAATTTTCTATAAATTTCAGGAAAAAATGAAATCATTTTCTAAGATCAAAATTACGATTTTAATTTTAATCTTTCTTTCATGCCAATTTGTTATTGGTTCACCTGTTTTTCAAAAACCAACCAAAGAGTTAACCAAACAACTCACTGATGAGGATACAAAACACAATGAGGTTAAGGATGATGAAGAATATGATTGGATTAATGAAGAAAACTTTGATATTTATATGACTACGGTAGAACTTTCAAATATTGAAATGTTAGAATTCCAATTACCTGAAGTTCAATTTCCTGAAATTCAATCTACTGAAGTTCAATCTGCTGAAATTCAATTCGAACCAATTCTTGAAAAAATTCGAGAAGCTTTTGGGGTAATAATAAAATTTATAATCGACAATTATATCATTTTTATTATTATTACAATAGTTATAGTTGGTATAGCTATTCTCTCACCTCGTCTCTTGACTGGATTTATCCGTTTGTTAGGACTTGGCGCTACGACCCTAATTAAAGGAAGTGTGTCAGCTATAAATCAGTTTATTGGTGGTTTAGGCACTTGTTTTGTAGGAGTTTGTAGATTATTAGGATGCGGTGCTGCTGAGGAAGATGAAGGAGCTTGTGTGATCATATTGCGGTCTCTTGGTGCTATAGGCGCAGGTGCACTTAAATTATTACCACTAGTAATAATAGTGGTAGGATCCACGATGTTATATCTTTATGTAACTGGCAAAAAAGATGATGAAAATTTGACTATATAGTTAAAAAAAAAATTTTTCGACCAATCAAATTTCAAGAAAACGAGAAATGCAAAAATATATGTTCACCTTTTGTAGTAAAAATTTCAAAAGCTTCTTACAAAGTACTTTACAATGTTTCTATACCGAACACCAAAAAAGCCGAAATAGGGTGGGTTTATTATAATAAGGTTCATTTATCTAGAGTTGACTGCACTAGTTATAAAATGGCAGCATTTTACAAGACTGGAATCTTATATATCAAGTTTCAAGTTCTTAAATTGTAACAAAATTTCGTTTTATGTAAATTGCATCTATTAATAACGCATTATTACTGTATCAATATATAAATATATACATTATCTATTATAAATGAAGGTTAAGTACTTTTTTTTTTCAGTGATGTTATTGGCTAGTGGTGTACATTTTGGAGCTCCTTTTGACTGTCCGGAGGACATTCAGACTCTTATCTGGCCTATAAATCTATCCTTAAAATGCACACATATATGCAAAAGTTAATTATAATTTAAAGCGGGTCATAATAATAAAATTTTTTGTTATTTGGTTTAAATTATGTCCGAATGTTGGCAATTCTTGAATTTGTGCCAGGTTGGGACACATTAATCAGTCCAAATAATTTGCGCCATTTAAAAAATTCCAATGATAATAAAACTATAAATTTTAATAGAATGAAAACACACATTTTTTTTTTAATGTTATTTCTACTCGAATCATGTTCTTGTTATTTTCAAAAAGCACGTTTCCCATAATGTTTATAAATTATGAATTTTCAAAAATTTTTACAGACCAAAACGTCAAAGTTCTTAATAATACGCGTAAAAAAATATTGGCTTTAAAAGTATGATAATAAATCTCAAATAAACGCGTACTATATAGTTTAAAAAATAAAAAATTCTTTAAATGAAAAGAACTTTTCTCATAATCTACGTTGAAAATGTTAAAGACGTTTCACTTTTGTAATTAAATTTTATAAGCTTTGTTATCCTTACATACTTCCGAAATTACCATAATACAGTACACTTACTAAAAATTTTAAAAATTAAATTATTTATGTTATGTCTTCAAGTCACAAAAGAAAAATAGAAAACATTCAAACTACAGGACGGTTGACGAAACACTTGGTGGAAGTTTTCGTTAAAAATTTTACGAATGACTGAAATAAAAGAGATCATTGTGGCTGGTTAATGCGCCATCAACCTGGCACATATTTAGAATTGCCGAATGTTGTCCAAGTGACAACATTTAATTATTAGCTAACATGAGTTCTCGAAATAGCGGTTATTTCGAAATAGCGTCACTAAAAATAGCTTAGAAAATTTTTGCACATGTCAGTGAATTTATAATATAGTAACGATCGAGTTTTGACTCTTTATCTGTTATCTTGAAATAACACATGAACGTATTCGAAATAATGTGCAGAATGATCAAAATAACGCACAGATGTCCGTTATTCAAAGAATTTACGGTAAGTTTTTAAAGGATGAATAAAAAAAAGATTAACTGCAAAAAACCTTCAAACAAACGATGAATATAAAAAAGAGTAACTGCAAAAACCTTCAGACAAACTTTGTCTTTATTATAGCAAGAATAACTAAATAATAAAATATAAAATCTATGTACAGTATATTAAAAAATTTCAGAGAAATTGGTATCCACGTTTTTATGAAATTCTTGAACTTTCGCTAAACATTAACCTGATTAGATATAAAAAAAAAACGCTTGCACAAGTTATATACTAGTAGATGTTTATTACTTGTTCTGAATCTTTTAATTATAGTCAAATTTCGGTACACAGAAGTTTTAGTATAATCCATGAAAAAAAAATTATGAATTTGCATCAATGATTACTACTGTAGATAAAATAATTATAATGGTACTTTAGGGTTGGCAATCCGAATATTGCAACTGGCCATCCTTCGATAAAATAAAAAGATTTGAGAGATTGCAACTATACTAGTTAAAATCAAATAAACTCGATTAACATCTGCAAATAATAATAGAGAAAAACTTAAGTCGTGTAGAATTTTGAGGCATCTTGCAAAATATTAAAAAACGTTCTTCATGCCATCTTTCTTAAATTATTCATGATTTAAACACTCATATACTGTATAACCTTATACAGTTCACCCTGTCAAAACTGATAAAAAATCAATCTACCATATCTATTTCTGATGTAATTATTATTGGGCCCTTTAAATCTGATAACCTTTCGGTTTTGACGGGTAGAATGTATATATTTATTGAATATTTAATAAAGTTTTCGATAGATCTAAGTACTAGACGTATGAAATATGTACCAAAATAACACATTCTATTAAAACAACAAAAATACCAATTGCAGAATTGTATATATGTCGTGCCTGAAGTTGTAACTTCAAACACAACATAAGTTATATAAACTCTTCAATTATATAAAATTACTATTTTTAATAGTAAGAAATTTTTACTTAAATATCTTTTAAGAAAACTTTAACTCTATTTTCAGGCAACAGAACTGATAAAGAATTTGATAAAAAAAATCAAATAATTATAATAATAATAATAATAATAATAATAATAATTAGCAATAAAATTTTATTTAAAAAGTCAAAATATAACTTCGATAAAGGTGTTTATTGCTAGTAAAGCTTCAGCGGAAATTCGATAAGGAGCAACGTCGGCTAACTCTACGCACTTAACATAAAATTTTAAATAAAAATTAAATAGACCACTTAAATTTTAGTCATGTCTTTGTATTATTACATAACTCTGTTCTTACACGATAAATACACTAGTCCGACCTATTATCTGTTCATACGCATTATACGATAAAATAATGTAATCCTACCTACATTACAAATTTTACAAATATTTTACAAACAATTAGCCCAACACGATAAACAAATCTTATATCGCAAATTTGGCGCGATCAAATTTTTACACACCATTGAGGCTTGTATCTTATACACACTGCTTCTTAATAATGGAACAAGTTTTTAATATGTATTAACCAATTTGGTCTATTGAACGAAGATTGACCAAATTGTTTCTAGCCAATAATTTTTTCAATCGTAATAGCAGATAATGGCTTTAACAAAAAAACAAATAACAAAATAACATAATATCGATATATATATATATATATATATATATATATATGTATATTATATCATTTGTAATTTTTTTTTAAAAAAACCTCAGTGTCTAAATCTATAATTATGATATTAATAATTATAATTTTTTTATTCAAATTTGTTCTTAATCTTCCTATACATAAAGATTCCACCAGAGCGTCAACAACGCAACTCATAAATGAGATTACAGTCGTGCTTAAACACAACAACATCCGCAATATTAAATCACGTGAAATTAAATTTCCTGATCTTCGATTGCCTGAAATTAACTTCCCTGATATTCAAATTCTTGAAATTGACTTTTTTGATATTATTGAAACTATTGGAAAGATAATAATAATTGGTATAGTTTCTTTCTTAATTTCTTATTGTCTCATCATTGTATGTGCTCACTATCTTGGGTTTGGTGATGGAATCGTTGAAGAAAGTATTGCTACCGGGTCTCAAAGAACGGGTGCTACAGGTGTACCTGTACCTGATAAAAGAATATTAATAGCAGTAACAGTAGCATTATTCATGACATGTTTGGTGATTTTTTTGTAATTGCTATTTATTGAAGAGTAGCGGTAATTCAATATTATTAATGTTTTATGGCCTTTTAATAAATAACCACAATTTATTGGTACCTATATTACAATACAACTTTATTATTCCATTTATAAATTTGCACCTACCTTAAAACTTCACAATATTTCACGTGTAATCTTAGAATTTGTAATTATTGTATGATTATTCTACAATCTTTATTACTTGAAGTGATCATAAAGAACTGTAACAAATATTTTCTGTTTTTTATTTTTACTTGAATAATTAATATTCAGTCATTCAAACCAAATTCGTTTTGGGAAATAGTGCAAGCTTTATTCAAGAAATCAGTTAGTTTGCACTGAATAATTATTAGTTTCTTGAGAGACAGGGATCAAAATAAATATTTCATTAGTGGATAAAGAGAATAATATTTCATCGATAAACTGTAAATATCAATTTGTCATAGTAATAAAAAAAACAACTGCTTTTTAATATGTATTTTCCATTCATTGTTCGTGATTAAGGTTTAGTAATCTTTTCATCTCATCTAATCTATTTACAACATACATTGTTTTAATTTTCAATGCTGTACGATAAAAACACAATGGGAATAACGATTCACACAAGTTTATTATTAAAACTTTACACGTTTATGAAATAATACTTAATGACGTCAAGACACTTTAATGATTTCTATTTTCTTTCTACTTTCAGTTTTATTATCAAAACAAATCCAATTTAATAAAATAACTGCAACAAATAATATTATTTACTATAATGATATAGTATTCGACGGTCCATAATACTGTGGCTAGTAATAATTTCAGTAGATTAATTTTAAAGTTCGATAGGTAAAAAGTTATGCCACATACCATTTTGAAATATCTTTACAAAATAATAAAGCATTTTTTCCATATCATTTATCTATAATTTAGATACCCACATATAATTGTGATCTATTTTAAGTAGTATCCCTGTTATTGTGAGAGAAAACAAATGCTCAAACTTGTATAATTTTCTTGTTTAGTCCGCTTAATGATTTTTTTTGATCCTTTTAAGTAATTACTATAATTAATAAAATAATATCAAATATATCAAATACCAGCTTGCTTAGTCTACCAAAATTTGGAATTTGAATGTGAACAATTCCAATATCAATATATATATATACAATAGTTTGCAAGTTTAATACGTACTAATCGTACTAATCACACATATTACACGTATTACACGATAAAAATAACATAAACCTACGCTATAATATTATATATATATTATATATGTGTATATCTTATTATAATAATCTTCTATTAATATTCTCTTGCTTTCATGCACTATACGTACATTATAGCAATTAATATAAGCGGAGATTCATTTCCTAGTTTTAAATGCGACGATACCTAATATGGTTAATAAATAACTAACTTTTTTTTTTGAATGAGACAAAATATCGTCATAAAAAGTACGTAATAATATCACAGAAAATTCTTGTACAATTTACTTAAGACATTTAAGCTAATATCTGCAACCATGTTTTTTTTGTTTATAGAGTATTTTTAGCGCCTTTCAGA